GTGTATATATATATATATATATATTTATTATATTTTTTGGGTTGAGGAGTACCTACCAGTCAGCGTAGTCACTTCACTCATAGCCCTGAGGAAAATATGTTATGATATAAATGTTAAAATTATATATGTAATCTACAAGATAAATCACAAATGAAATTTAATATGTTTAACATTTTAAGCTTATACTATTTGTTTGATTTCGTTGTTTCTTGTGGCTTTTTGACCTCAGTGAATTAAAAAAAAATAAAAATACATGAAATAAATTAAAAAAAAATTATTTACTAAAATAGGTGATTTTGGACACGGGGGTGCATACGTGGCAGTGAAAACGCCTGGGGGTGAGCGTTTTTTAGAAAACTCCTCCCCCCAGGCGCCTTGTATGCTGACGTGGCTAGGGAGTGCACAAAGAGCCTCCCCCCCAGGCGTTTTGTACACGTGGAAATCATGAACTGAAAGCGTTGGGGGCAGGCGTTTTGTACACGTGGCAACTCGGAGCTGAAGGCGCCTCCCCCCAGGCTCTTTCCATGCAAACGTGGCTTGTTTAGAAAGAGCCTCCCCCCTGGGCTCTTTCTATTTTTGGCAAGTTTGAAAAGAAAGAGCCTGTGGGGTAGGCATTTTCGAGATCAGGGATCTGCATGTTAATGGCAGCAGCAACAACCACAACAAATGTTGGCCAATATAAGGGATCTGCATGTTAATTATTCACAATTAATGTTTATCAAATGAACTTCCACTCCTTGTTGATCGCTCTTTAAAATTAAACAACTTACCCGGTATACTATCATAGAAAGTATTATCCACTTTCTCCGGAAACTTCCGTAGAAATGCTGCTTGCCCTATGTATGCAACCACTATTGCAGGACACGTAATGCAAGAAAAGCTAATCTGCAACGCATATTATAATATGATGATGTTGATCAATAATTTTAAGTGCAACTAAACAACCAATAGCGCAGCTCGAAACAGTTTCTATGCATGAATTGACCACAAGTTCTTCATGGAACGGTCGCATATTATACTAACCAATCTTATGCACAAATTCTTCACCATATATATGCCCTAAACTGAAAGTATATACTGCGTTATACGGGGATAAATTAAATTTGTTCACTTACTTGAATGGCTCGTACATTAAAGTGACCCAAGTCAGCAAACATGGCCTCCGATCTCAAGATTAAATATATCTTACTTAGAATTAAAGGTTGATACAATTTAATTAATAATAGACGTACGTTACGTTAGTCACATGTTATGCACAAAAAGACTCCTCCAAGCAATATCCATCTGTCCTTGCCGTTCCGTTTGAAGTAATCATATATGTATTTTGGATTAAAAGCACGTAATACTCCAATGTCATATTTGAATAAATTGTAAAGGCCAATTCCACCGATGAATAAAAACCACAACAAAATGAGCGAATGTGAATCCCACTTTATCAGTACCAAATCGTTGCATACAAAATAGGACTACCAAGATTGCTATAGTGATCCCCACAACAGCTCCTGGAAAAAAAAAACATATGTCGACTTTTAACAATTTTTATTACTCTTGAGATTAGGGGGTGCGGGGAATAATACATTTATTTATTTAGGTACCTTGACCCAACGATGTACTGATCCCACTCACCGCAGAAAGGACTGCACATGCATTCAACAATATAATAATGTCAAGCTACCTTTCAAATTCACGTGGTATATGGTCAAAATTTTTGTTTTACATCATTTTTTTAATATAGATTAAATTTCTTCTAGTTGATGAGAAAAATGATGAAGCAAATATTATAAATAGAAACACGCAATTAATTGGTACTATAACCTGAAATTGATGGAGTAAGAATCCCATCTCCTATGACCATGGAAGTTTCCATTACAGCTAGAAAGAGACCCCACAGGCTCTTTCTTTTCAAACTTGTCAAAAATAGAAAGAGCCCAGGGGGGAGGCTCTTTCTAAACAAGCCACGTTTACATGGAAAGCGCCTGGGGGGGAGGCGCCTTCAGCTCCCAGGTGCCACGTGTACAAAACGCCTGCCCCCCCAGCGCTTTCAGTTCATGATTTTCCACGTGTACAAAACGCCTGGGGGGGAGGCTCTTTGTGCACTCCCTAGCCATGTCAGCATACAAGGCGCCTGGGGGGAGGAGTTTTCTAAAAAACGCCCACCCCCCAGGCGTTTTCACTGCCACGTATGCGCCCCCGTGTCCAAAATCACCTATTTCAGTAAATAGTTTTTTTTTAATTTATTTCGTGTATTTTTATTTTTTTTTAATTCACTGAGGTCAAAAATCCGTTTCTTGTACTGTGCACTGAACACAAAAATACAACAATATTATTCATAGGACATATAACCAACAATTGTCAATGAGAATTGTATTGGAAAATAACTAGGGCTAAATAAAAGTTAATTTATAGGTAAATATATAAATAGAGTTAATCACCCATATATTGTTAGTGTAAAGGTTTTTTACACTAGCAACCAATCATATCTTTTAATACAGTGACATGTCAGTTGCTTATTTAATAAAATAATAATAAAATAAGTAACTTTAAAAGATATGATTAGTTATCAGTGTAAAAAACTTTGACACTGACAGTGTAAAAAACATACAAACAATTGTAGGTAAACTCGCTTCTTTGAGTATATCCATATATGAATGTAAGACAAGGTTTCTTCATGCTTGTTGCGTGACTTTTGAATGTATTTAGCGCTCTAACATTCCATATATGTTATCATTTCAGTTAGTCACGTTCTTTGACTTTAGCATATATCTAAACACTAATTTAGACTTCTCAAGTGACATATTATTATTCATACACTCAACCTTTTCACACAATCACCATTATTCTTGTACCGGAAGGGTCTTATCGGTCACGTGGATCGACACGTGCTGTCCTATCAGACATCCACGCGGACCTTGAACACGACTATGACCGTATTAACAAACACGAGATCATTAGTGGCTCAACCATCGGCTCGGCAAATGGCCGAAACCGAGAAGAACTCTAGCAACCTCGGCTCAACTGAAGACCTGTAACATAAACCAAGGCAGCATGATAAGGCTCCACATGCCCTTGTGTATCGGCTCGGCCAAAGGCCAAAGATTAAGGGTAATCCAGGACATACCATCGGCCAGGTCAAGGGTCGAGAACGAAAGACAACCCAACACTCTATCTATTGGCTCAGCCAAAGGCCGAGAACGAACGCCAACCCAAGCCTTTATCTATTGGCTCAGGCAGAAGCCGATAGGGCCAAGAAGGTATTAAGACGATGATCACGATTAACAAGGGCAAACGCTCGATTAAGGCATAATCAGCCGATTAGCATCGTATTACCTAATTTGTTAAGCATTAGAAGAGGCCCACTATGTCCAGGGCTCATCAAAGGTAGTATAAATAGGTCATTTAAAACGAGGTACGTCACTGTTCATTTATTACTCTCGAGAATTGTGCTTGTCCTGACTTGAGCATCGGAGTACCTTTTGCAGGTATCTCCCCCCTCTAAAGTATCCACCCGAAGCTCTCGTTCGGCCCTCCACTTACCCGAAGATTACAAGTGTGCCCTCAGATAGGTACATTTTGGCGCCCACCGTGGGGCCGAACCGATAGCTTTGAAGAGACAGACTAAGTACTATGACGAAGACAAGGAGGACAAACACTGAAGACCACCGATCCGATGAGGAGCATCGATCCGACGAGGACCACGTTGAGGTGGTAGACGAGACAAACCTAACGGAGATGGTACGACAGTTGAAGGAGGAGATGGCTGCCATGAAACAATCGCGAGAAAAAGATGCGGGAAATGACCGCCTTAAGGGAAGAGAATGCTGCTCTAAAAAACCAAGACCCAACCTGGAAGCCCTCCGAGCCGACCCGAACGCATACTCAAGGGTCATTCCACTCGCTCGGACATCACACCTCTATCCCTCACACCTCTGCCACTGCTCTGGGAAATCATGCCTCGGCTGCCCAAGTACCCGGCCGACCAGTGCACAATATGCCGACCGGAACACACCGACACCCCTTCACCCCAAATATCATGCAAACTTCACTCCTTGATCACTAGAAGTCCCTCCCGTTAGACAAATATGACGGAACGACAGATCCTGACGAGCATGTCGACATTTTTCTCACCCAAGTCACCCTCAACACCACCGATGATGCTGCCTTATGTCGAATTTTTCCAACATCTTTGAAGGGAAGAGCATTGAGCTGGTTCACACGGCTCCCGGCCAACTCGATTGACTCTTTCAACACTTTGGCATCCCAATTCACCATCTAGTTCGCCACCAGTCGGCCTCACCAGCTAACCTCCCTCGCGTTAGTGAGCATAAGGAAAGAGAAGAAAGAATCTCTTCGGACCTTCATGAGCCGATTCAACAAAGCGGCATTGGAAATCTAAGACCTAAACCAGCCGGCCGTCGCCCTTCACCATCTGACCACTGCCCTAAAGCTGGGACCATTCGCTAATAGCATCTACAAGAAACCTCGTCCGACATGGACGACCTGCGACGTCGCGCCGACAAATACATGCAGATGGAAGAACTTGCTGAGTTTCGCAACTAGGCCAGAGTAGAGGTAGCGGCCAAGATAGAGAAGCCGGTTGAGCATTCCTATCGAAGCCGTCCGAAAGAGCTCGTCCCCCGTGATAAACCCCCCGTGGACCAAGGTACTCACATTATACGCCGCTAAACACTAGTCGTTCGGCCATATTGGATCAAGCCCTTGCCTCTGAAGTCTTGGCGGTCCCAAAGAGGGCTTCAACCCCACCTCGGGCCGACACCACCAAGTCATGCAAGTACCACCGCAATCGTGGGCACTCAACGGAGGAATGCTCAGCTCTAAAAGACAAAATTGAAGACTTAATCAAGCAAGGGAAGCTTCAAGGTTTTGTTGATCGTCCCACTTCGTCCAGGTATGCCGATCACTCCGGCTGACATGATCAGCCCGAGCGGGAAAGGGCCAAAAAGCGCCTATACAGGGAGCGCAGTAGATCCAGGGGCCGAAAAGAAGAAGAACCTTCAACTCAGCCCCAGCGGGTCATTAACACCATCGCGGGCGGATTCGCAGGGGGTGGGTCGACCTCATTGTTGAGATTTCCGTTGAAGTACTTTTGTTATAATTGTATTAACATGTATTTTTGTGATAAAAGACACCAATTTTTTTTCTTAAAGATTAATGACACTACTAGAAAAATACTATTCTACGTCACCATATTTACATCGGTTCCTTATAAAACGATGTAAAAACAATGTACGGTGGCAATTTCGTAAATAACTTGAATAAATAAGAATATTTACATCGGTTATTCTAAGAACTGATGTAAATATAAACAATTCTACATCGGTTATATGAGTGACCGATGTAGAAATGAAAATAGTGATCTATTCTACATCAGGTTTTGTGTTCACCGATGTAGAAGAGGTGACTAAATTCTTCCCCTCCCCGCGACAATGATGTGCGCTCACTCCCAAACCTAAAACACTCTCAAAGCTAAAGCGCTCTTCTCCAAGCTCTCCCGCCGCGGCCGCCTCCCGGAGTCCCTTGCGCGCTGCTACTTCGCGCAGCTCATCTCCGCGCTCCGCTTCTGCCGTCGAGACGAAGGTGAAGGAGGTTGGCTTGAATTTGGGGTTTAGGGTTGAGGTTGGGAAGCTTCTCCAGGCTCCCCTTCCGCGCTTCGCCTTTAGGGTTTTTCACGCGATCTCTCATCCGCGCCGGGGAAGAGGTTCCCCGCGCTGGAGGGTCCCAAAGAAGAAGACTTAATCATAAGCGAAAAGGAAGAGGCAAAAATGCCAAACAGCTCACATGGGTTCTCCTCCTCAAAGCGCACCGCGCCGCTGGCTTCTTGACCTCCCTCGCGCCGGCATTGTGGGGGCTCGTCTCCGCCGTCAAGCACCGCGTGGCCGCCAGGAAAACCAACGCTGATTCTCCAAAGGTATCTACATCGGTTCTAAAACCGATGTAGAATAGAGCGATGTAAAAAATGTATACATTTTTACATCGGTTCTGAAAAACCGATGTAGATTGCAGTTTTTTTTTTAAAAAAAAACATGCTTATTTTTTTGATTATTTATGATTACTTATGGAGCACGACCATTTTCAAGGATTTCAATAGTGCTTGGCAGTACCTGAAATCAAATAACAGCAAGCTCTACAAACATAGACTAATTTTTAATTGTCCTAAAGGATAGCAGTTTTAAAACTTGTCACAATACATACACTGTTTAGTAAAATAAAATAATGTTTGACTAGCAGAATCCATTAAGTAAATTTTTCTTCTTAAAAACTTGTCACAATACATACAAGGAAGTTAAAGACCTTCCAATTCCTAAAAAAAATCCCACTGACATGAACTACAAACTTTCCATGTAACTAAAAATATTAGTAAGGTCATAGAAGTCATCGGTCTCCTCTCCTACAACATACCAACAAGAAATGTAATCTTAATCAGGATTTTTGAGAAAAATTCAACATACGAATATCAATAATTCAAATTTTAAATGCAAACTTAACTAGCGCCTTGGGATTGTCAAAGATAAGATGCCATTACCATTGGATAATGGAGCATTTGATGATGAAGCCAAAGCTTTTATGTACTGACCGCATTTCACACTCGGGCTCTCAGCCCGGGTTGACATTATAAGGGTCATCCCGGACACGCGTTGAACAACGTTAGCCTGGAATCCGGACAGACCACGCCCGAGCCCGAAGATCTCGTCCCAGGCCAAAACCGTTCTCCCGTTATGCCATATTATGTCACAACGTGATCATATCATATGATAGGATATCGTATCATATCATATCTTATCTCAGGCCCAAGACAACCCTAACTGACACAAAGGTATG